GGGGGAGGGGGAGGGGGGCGCGGATGATAGTGAAGAAGGGGGGGGGGGGTGCATGGTTGTTTCTCGGATGAAAGTGAAAAGTGGGGGGTGGGGGAGTGGGATGTTGCAGGGCTTTGATAATGTCTCTGGGGGCCCCCTAAATGTATGGATTTGTCCTGTCGTCATTAAATCACTAAATGGCCCAGGAGCTCAATACATAACAGGTAAGCTGACTGAAACTTGAAATTCCAAGAGTTCAGTCAAAGCAGGACCAATTGGCATTCAGCTTAGAGTTGTAATCGGGCCATAAAAGTTAGGACCGATGGGGCCCGAGCTTGACAAGTACATTTTGATTGACAGCTTTTTAAAAGCCTGAACCTGTTTATTGACATTATCCAAATGTGCACATACACACAGCTCTGTTGGCTTTTTTCAAGAACGAGTCGTTTATATGTTTTTTAACATCATTTATTCATAACAAATGTAGGCTATAGGCCCACACGGAATCTGCACGTGCAGAATTCTGCAGATTTTTTAGCCCATCATTCATTCTGTTTAAACTTGTGTAAATGTGTGTACATTTATATCTATTCAGTTTTTACATTAATTCAGTATATTTTTTGACTAATATGAAAATGTTCATTTGATTTATTTACAATGAAGTTCGTAGTAATATTTTCTGTCTTTTAGTAGAGATATTATATGAGAGACTTGCTTTGTTTACCAAATAAAGTGGACCTAATTGGATTTGCATGTAAACATTACGTACAAGTTGAAAAGGTTTTACTTTTTAGTTCACAATTAAGGTTTTAGTTACGATACTCTCAAAATCATTCCGCTTAAATCCGCAGATTTTTAACAAAATTCTGCACAGAAATCGCAAAAAATGTCTGCAGATTCCATATGGCCGTAGCTATAGGCCGTTTAGAAGTTGGAACAGAGAAATAAAATAAGTCCTCAGTAACATTATAACATCTCAGCACTCTAAATAGGCCGAGGCACATTCACTTAGCCTTTAAATTGGCCAACACACCAATAAAAATAAGTCTTTTCTATTAAATTCTAAATTATGACGAGTATTTGGCAATAAAGAAATTAAGATAAAGGCTCTGCGGGATTTGTTTCACCACTTCTCTTTACAATTTGCCTTTAAGGCGACGGTGAAGCTGAATATCAAAAGAATAATGGCAACACTAGCCTGTTTACTCTGTTATGCATTTCTCATTTCATTAATATTTAGTTATAATTTGAAAATCCTTCACTCACCAAGATTAAGCTATGTGTTTTTGTGGAGGAACATTATTGAAAACACTGTTGATGGCTTTATAGTGCGGTCCTGAGCTCACTGATGGTGCGTCCAGCAGCACTGAACACCCTTTCACCGCTGCTGCTGCTACTGGCCGGGATGCACTACTGATCTGGCTAATTTTGCAAGTTTTGGGTAGGATTGTTTGTTCAGCTTCCACCAGCCAAGAACATCCATTTCATTTTCCTTGACAGCGGTTTCAATACAGCGAGTGCCCTTGTCATTTTGTCAGCTTGCTGTACATTTTCCCACTCCGCAAAATTCACTCTTTTTGACGTCTCCGTCATCATTTGTTTCACCTTTGCAGGATGGGTTTTAATGTTGTATTAAACGATTTAATTACTTTTATCGCGCTAATCGAAATGCATCACATGTGGACCCCGTCTGAAATTATAGAAATTAGGCCCGAACCCACCCGAACTAGCTGGGTCCCATTGGGTTCGGGCCTAGTTTCTATGATTTTAGACGGAGCTCCTCGCTGCTATAATCAGCTTCTAGAATTGATCAGATGTGCTCAAACATTAGGTACTTTCACATCAAGTCTGGAGGCACATCTGTTTAGCTGTGCTTTCTTGTACCTGTCTCTTTTACTCCTGTCTATGTAAAGCACTTTACCATTGTGTATGAAATGTGTTATATTAATAAACTTGCCTTGCCTATGGGTAATAAAAAATAGTAAATAAAAACTTAAAATTTGTCCAAATTTCTTCAATACTGCTTATCTTCAGAAACTATGAATCACGTAATTAAATGTGTTGAGATTTTGTCCCATCTTTTTGTCCAGGAAAGCAAATAAATGTGGGATGGGTGGGGTTTTCTTACCACTTTTACACTACATATACACTATTACTAAAATCCAAGCCTTGGTTTATTTTTAACAAGGGCCATTTTCTTCAGCAAATGTGTAATATTACCTCCTTAATCATTTGTTCATAATATCACCAATTTTATGTCACGTAGTATCACACACGAACACCTTTTTTTGTGTGTTTTACTTCGCTCGCGAACACTTGTGTGACGTTGCAGCCAGTGTGCGCGTTCTCGTGGAGCTTTTCCGGTGGCGTTTCCTGTGTTTGTAAACTGACCTGAGCCGAAATAAAAGCGAATTTGAACACTACCAAGGTAAGATTCGCGAGCCATACACGTATCGCTTCGGTAGAAATGATTAGTGTTGTGTTTTTACGTCCTGAAATGGTGTGCCTCGCTGCGCTTTTAGAGGCCTCGAGAGACAGAGATGTGATTATAGAGAACCACACGAACACACGTTATCACACATGAACGCGTCTGAAATAAACTCCAGCTCGGACTAAATCACTGTTGACCGATGCGAGACTTGTGTTTAGGTGTTTAGGGCTGTTTAAAGACATCTAATAGAAGTGATTTGTTGTGTTAAATTGAGGATTGGTTGTTTGCGGGGGAGTTTGTGCGAACAGCAGCGCGTGAGATGCTGATGTGTGTGTGAATTATTATTATTTCACATGTACACTTGCATTACAGCATGCATGAATGTGTTTCAGTGATTTATTGTTAAAAGCATAATTAAAGTCCTGTACATGTGTTGAGGTAGTCTCTCTCTCTCTCAATTCAATTCAATAATTGCTTTATTGGCATTAGAAATGTATTGCCTAAGTGTGTGTGTGTATATATA